AAAAAAAGGTTAACAAGACTGTGGCAAAACAAGGCTGTGACAAAAACATGGCTATGGTACAAAGTAAAGAAGACTAAATGACCCAGTGTCTCCTTCCTCGGTCCTCCATATTTTATTTCCCTTTTGTAAAATGGACCGTTTGAGTCCCTTTTGAACCAAACAAGCACAAATTTATACTCTTACAGACTTCTTTTTGCCTGCCTTTATTGCAGAACAGTGGGCTAAAAAAGATGTGTGTGAGTATGAAAAGACTACAGAGTAGGCATGGCAAGATTCACCGATGCGTATGGGAACATCGGAACGACCTGTGCGATACGGTTGCATCGATTTGCAAACGTCTGCATCGGTAAAAACCGCACATAAACTCGAGATGCATCGTATAAAACTACCTGCATCGATACAAACCCATTATTATCTTCTATTATTATAACTTTTTAGAAACGTGTCTTTGAGTTTTAGTTGCGTTTCTTTCCATCCCTGTTTCCATTCAGAGAGACAATCACTCTCTAAGTTGCACTTCCTTTGTTTCAAAATAAAAGGCACAGTTAGCTTGCGTGCCATAACTTGAACTATGTAGTCCATGGTGTACTTTTCTTCTGCATCGCATCGTATTGTATCGTATCGTATCGTATCGCACTGTATCGCAGCATTTTAAATTTAGATCGTTCTGTATCGCACCGGATCGCAGGAGGTTGGAGAATCGTATCGAATCTTATCACTAGAAATTCCATGAATCGTGAATGTATCGAATCGTTGGCTGTGTATCGAGATGTGTATCGTATCGCCTTGGTGGTGAAGATTCCCATCCCTACTACAGAGGCCTTTATCAATGCATTCTGCTGTTTTACAGCCATAAGAGGAGCAGCCAGTGTGATCAAGGTAGTAAAAACAAGACAGAAAAAAGCTTAAAAAGAGTTTTTTTTTGTTTTTTTACATGCAAGAAGTTGGCAAAATTGCATCTGATGTAATGTGACATAAACCTTTGATTAAACTTTTACATGTCTGTCCCTGACAAAAGACAGCAGGCCCTCTTTCATCTGTAAGTAACAGGATGTAAATATGCAATATGTCAC